TTCTGATTATTAAGGCCCCTACAGTGTTCGGGTCCCACTTAGGGTGTAGGTGCAGGGTTGAGGGTTTACGATCAAGATGATGGTCATGACAATGCGGATGATGATGACGATGATGGCGATGACGATGGTGATGATGATAATGGCGACGGGGATTTTGGGGAGATGTCGCTACTGATGAGATACTGAAGGTGAAGATTGTGCTTCTGCCTGCTGATGATTGCTATGATGGTTTGGATGATGGTGTTGATGCTTGTGTCGCTGGTGCTGTTAATGAGTGATGATAGTGATTAAAACGCTGCTGCTGCTGCTGCTGCTGCTCATGGCGTTGGTGATGCCGAGAAGGTGCTAAGGTTGCGATGTGCCGCACCTATTTGTTCTCTCCGTGTTTGCCTTCTCTCCAAGTCATCGTTCTTCCTAGATCATGGCCCCGTTCTGATCTTATGCTAAAGACCCAAAAGCCGCACACGCCACACTTCTAGGCCCTAGAGTAGGCCCTTATTCCCTTATTTTAGGGTTCAGGTTCCCTTATAAGCCCCTTTAACCCAAAAAGGGCACCCTTTTTATTCCTAGGTTACTCTTAGGTCTAGACTTTGTACCTCACTCCCATAAACACGTCAACCCAGAGCTGGCATGAAGCCCAAGTCCATGTCCACGGAGGTCATTGCCATGGCTGTGCGGGCACTGGGCGTGCTTGGCAGACTCCTTAAGCTGTTGTGTGTGTGTGAGTGTGCGTGGTGCTTTCCGTCTGGATCTTGCAGCGAAGACTGTGGCAATCGCCGAAGAGGCCGAAATCAGATTATGGTTATCTTAGCTAAGCTTTTCATCTGAGCCCTGTACCAGGACCCCCCAATGGCCCTTCAATGGAGCCCGAGTGGCCTTCAAAAGTAGGTATTTGGGGGATATTAGAGGGTAGTTGGGGGGGTCTAGGTAGCCCCACTTGGAAGGGCAGGGGGCTTAGTAAGTCGTTCATAAGTAGGGTTATAATTGGGGTAACTCCATTTAGGGTACTTATAACTCTACTTATAACCTACTTACTAAGTCCCCTGCCCTTCCAAGCAGGCGCCAGGCCCAAAATGTCCAAAGCAGGATCTGCATGGCGGACAGCACTTGACAGCCCCAGCCCTAAACTCTGAACCCTGAGCCTTGCTGAACCCGCTGAACCCCAACTGCCACACTCCTAAACCCTAAACCCTGAAACCCTTAAACCCTAAACCTTAAACCCTAAACCTTAAACCCTCAGCCCTCAGCCCTAAACCCTAAACCCTAATCCCCTAAACCCAGAACCCCTAAACCCTGAACCTTTAAACACCCTAAACCCCTAATCCCCTAAGCACCCCGAGCTCCGAGGCGAAGCTGGCGGGCATTATGCCGACCATGTGGCCGCAGTCATGCGCTGGCCGAATCCAGAAGTTCGACTGGCCGCGGTGGAGGCAGATGTAGGGGTTTTGGGTTTTGGGTTTTGGGGTTCAGGGGTTTAGGGGTTTAGGGGTTTAGGGTTTAGGGGTTTAGGGGTTTAGGGGTTTAGGGGTTTAGGGGTTTAGGGGTTTAGGGGTTTAGGGAGGGGTTTGGGGTTTAGGGGTTTAGGGTTCAGGGTTTAGGGGTTTAGGGTTTAGGGTTTAGGGTTTAGGGCTTTAGGTTTTAAAGGGTTTTGGGGACAGCGAGACCCAGATTCATAGGAGGCCAAGAGGGGTCTTAGCCTATGGGGGTTTAGTAGGGATTAGGATTCCCATAATAGGGTTCATATTAAGGAATCCCTACCCCAAGAATCTTAACCCTCCCTTTTGGCCTCCCATCATAGACTTGCGAAGAGATGCAGGGTTCCCAGAGACTCTAATACCCCATAATTGAGGAATATACCTTAAATCATCTTAGGGATCCGACTATAATTCGAGGTATATTCCTTCACTAAGGGATATTGGAGCCTTTGGGTTTCCGCTGTAGATTATCCAGAGCTTCTGTTTCAGTTTGAGCTTACAGTACGCCCCCCCCAAATCCCTCAATCCTCAGCCCTTTCTGTTTCCGAGCCAACCCTGAAGACTGTAAAGCGTGGGTGGATGAAGGTAGACTTGAAATCCATAAACCCTTGAAGATATGATGGTGGTGAGAGTCTTCTTGATTCGTGTTTTGACCGTACATCAAAGTTTTAATTTCTCAACACTACATCCTGGTCCTACAGCCCCAAACCGCAAGCCCGAAACGCGTAAGCTTCAGTTGTTGGCTTGTAGCGTTGTAGCACATGTGTCAGATTCAGAGATAGGGGTGCTAAAGGTTTTGGGATTTGCCAGTTTTTCGGGCTTCGATTTTTGAGGTTCAGCACTTGCTTCTTCAGGTTTTGAACCGGAAATGGCAGGCCTGAAACAGCAGCCCTAACCCCCGACCCCTAAACCTCATCCCGAGACCCTAAACGCTGAGCCCTAAACCCTAAGCCCTAGCCCCTAAACCCTAAACCCTGAAACCCTGAAACCCTAAACCCTAAACCCTAAACCCTAAACCCCTAAACCCTAAACCCCGAACCCTAAACCCTTAAACCCTAAACCCTGGTAACCTTTAAGGGGTACAGCGGGTACTGTAACGGGGTTCCTTTAAGGGATTTTCAAGGGTTCTATGAGGGTTTAGGGGGTAACCTTTAATTTTTTTTGGGTTGAAGAGGCTCTAAGCCCCTTCTACTCGTAGAGCATCCCACAGAGGTCCTTATAGAGCCGCATGGGGTTTCCGAAAATTAGGGGTACCTTATTTTTGGGTCCTTATAATAAGGATCCTACTATTTAGGGTATTGTATTAGGGTCCCCGATTTTCGGAAACTCCCATAAGATCCCATGGGAGAATTAGGGGGACTTAATCATTAGAAATGGGTGTTGGCTGTTCCTTATTGTGAGCATGGTACAGCATGCCCCCAAGCCCTGTTCTAACGATTAAGGCCTTTACATTATAGCATGCTGCAGAGATCCTTCTAGAGCCCCACTTGGAGGATCATGGGACCTAGTAAGTAGTTTATAAGTACCTTAATTGGGGTTATAAGTAGTTATAAGTAGAGTAACCCTAATAATAAATAACCCCAGTTACTAAGCCCCATGATCCTCTAAGTAGACCCTAAACCCCAAACCCCATATATAGATCCCTTTGAGGAACCCTATAGATCCCCTTTAAAGAGCCCTTTAAGTAGTGCCTGGAGGTCCTGGGAAGGTTTGGGAAGGCGGCTGGGAGGCCCCTTGCCGGGAGTTTTGGGTTTAGGGTTCGTGGTTTAGGGTTTAGGGTTCGGGGTTTAGGGTTTAGGGTGCGGGGTTTAGGGTTTAGGGTTCGGGGTTTAGGGTTTAGGGTGCGGGGTTTAGGGTTGAGGGTTCGGGGTTTAGGGTTTAGGGTGCGGGGATTAGGTTTGGGGCCAGGGGTGGTTTTAGGGTATCGGAGGCTTGAAGGATTTCTGGGATTTGGGCTTCAGAGTTTTAGGGTTTAGGCTCCATTGCAGCATTCTGGCTTGCGTGGGGCTTAGGGTTTAGGGTTTGGGGTTTAAGGTTTACGGTGTAGGGCTTTGGGTTTAGGGTTCAGGGTTTGGGGTTTTGGGGTTATGTGCCTGGGTTTATGGTATAGGGTTTGGGGTTTAGAGTCTAGGGCATTGGGTTTAGGATTTCGGATCAGGGGTGGGTCTCATCGGATGGTAGGATTTTGGGGGCTTGGAGTGGGGTGTTTCACTGGGTTTAGAAGGGCTTGATGAGGGCTTTGTAAAGGGAGTTAAGAAGCCCCTGTACAGGCCTCTGAAGCGGCAGAAGGTTTACAGTAGAAGCCCAACAGCTCGAAACCCAATAGCCTCAACCCTTAAGAGTCATGTATAGGGAATCCCAGCACTATTCAGCCAAATTCCGGTTTCCAAATTTATGGGGTTTACTGTAAAGTGTCTGTACTGATACCTGGACCCTAAGGAACCTGCCTTTTTAGGGTTTCCCGGATATGATTTCTTTATACAAGTCCTTAAAAAGGTAGGTTACTTGGGGTTAAGGTAAAGATTATAGAGGTCAGAGGCTTGCGGATTGCGAGGATCGGGAGCTTGGGGTTTCTGGTTCAGGGTTGATGGCTCAGTGTTCTGGTGGCGTTTGGGGTTTAGGGCTTGGGCCTACTTGGAGGGTCGGGGGACTTAGTAACTCGGGGTATAATTAGGGTAACTCTACTTATAACTACTTATAAACCCCAAATTATCGGTACTTATGACCTTACTTACCAAGTCCCCTGATCCTCCAAGTAGACCCTAAACCCTAAACCCCATAGATCCCTTTTAAGGAACCCTTATAGATCCCTTTAAGGAGCCCCTTTAAGGAACCCTACTAAGTCCCATGATCCTCCAAGTAGAACGAAGGGTTGAGAGCTCCGGGTCTGGAAAGTGTGGTGTTTGACCGACCAGGGTTTGGAAAGTTTGGGGTTCACGGTTTTGAGGCGAGTTGGGGCCTTAGCCTTAAGCAGAGCTCCGAACCGCAGCCGCCATGGCTCGAAGTTGGTAACGTCCTTCTTTGAGCGGCAGAGCTCCTCGAAGCAACTGATGTTATTTTTTTTTTTGAGGGGTTGAGGGGGGGGCGGGCGGGCCGGGTGGTGTTGGGATCTGATGGCTTTAGCGTTTTGAGGGCTTTGGGGTTAAGCTTTGATTGAGAAAAGCATGTGGGATCTTCGGATCTTCGGGTTTCAGGGCTTTAGGGCCGGAAGGCTTGAGGCATTGGGGCTTTCGGGTTTCAGCTCGTAGGGTTTGTGGGTCTCATGTTTCTCAGCTTTAGGGCTTTAGGGTTTGGTGTTTGCAACCCTAAGCCCTAAACCCTAAATCCTGAACTCTAAACCGTTTATGGTCCTATGCCTCCGGCCTTTTGATCCTTGGTATTGGCATTTTAGGGTTTTCGGGAGAAGGCGGGGAGCTCCCGAAATGTCCATATCACTCAAAGCCGCGGAGGAGTGCACAGGCTTTAATTTAGAGTTTACGGTTTAGGGTTTTGTTGGGTTTGAGATTGGCCAAGGTGACCAGAAAGATGTTTGATTTCTCCAACCTGGACGACATTGAGGACAATGCGCGGTCCTCAGTGGCTGCACTTGTCCTTAGCAGTAGCATGCATCAGCAACTCCAAACCCTGCACCCTTAACCCCGAACTTTAAACCTAAACTTAACTCAAACATAAATGGGAGTTTCCGAAAATTAGGGTACCTTATTTTGGGGGTCCTTATAATAAGGATCCTACTATTAGGGTACTATATTAGGGTCCCCTATTTTCGGAAACCCCCAAATCCCGAAAACCAGAACCCTAGACTCCAAGACTCCATCCCAAACCCTAAACGGCCAAAGGCGGAGTTGCGCACCCGGTTCTGCAGTGGTAACATACTCCATTAAACCGTCAGATTGAGTATCTCGAGTTACCATTCCTCCAGAACGGTTGATGATATAAATCCTGCATTACACATAATAAGGAATATGCCATAATTCCCATAGTTTAGGGTCCTTAAGGTAATGCAGGATTAATATCACCAACCGGAAGAACCCAAGTTTTCGCTCCGGGCCATTCAAAATGATCGGGCGCCCATGTTCTGGAGTCCCGAACATACCGCCTCGGAAAAGGGGACACGAAAACGGCTAATTCTAAACCCAGAACCCTAAACCCAAAACCCTAAACCCAAAACCCAGAACCCTAAAAGACCCTAAACCCTAAACCCAAAACCCTAAACCCAAAACCCTAAACCCTAAAACCCTAAGCCCCAAACCCTAAATCCCAAACCCTAAACCCCAAAACCCTAAACCCCACAACCCGAGACCGCAAGAACAGAGTCGACCGAGGGGGCGACTCCTGAATGGAAGTAGCCTGGCAGGGGAAAGGGGTTACTTTGGCCCTTATAAACCCTAAACTTAGGGTTCGGGTTTAGGGTTTAGGGTTTTTTAGGGTTTAGGGATTTTTAGGGTTTTTTAGGGTTTAGGGTGCGGGTTTAGGGTTTAGGGTTTAAGGTTTCGGGCTATGTAACCGTAATCGCGAAGAAGTGGGGGAGATTCGGCTGGGGTGTCTTGCATTGGTTGTCGTTGCTTGGGAGTGTAGACTGCGTCGTCCGACAGTGCCGGGGATTCTGCGTCCCATCTTGCTTTTCTTGTAGGCCTTAAGGTGAGAAAAGCTGGCAGCATCTGAGGCATCGCATGTTTTCCTGTGGAGATAAAGCTCATCCCACATCCTAGAAGCGAAAAGCGAATTCGACCATAGGAGCCTTAATAATTACCAGTACCATTCAGGGGGTTCCTTATTATAATTATAGTATATACAATGGGCCCCAGAGCCCTAATCTTATTTGTGAATGCCCCTGTATCAAGCGGCAGCCTCGCTTCCGTCTTGTTATACTTGTGGGCTTCGCAGTAGCGATCTCACCATCATAGCAGTCTCACTGCAAGACCCCCCGCTTAGTGTGGTGGGCTTGGTGCTTGCTCAAAGGTTCTATTTACTTACCTTTGGTTAGTAGGGAATGGAAGCATGGTAGCAATAGTAGTTATAATTGTACCCCAGTCCTCCATTCCCTACTAACCAAAAGTAAATTTACCGCCTTTGGCAGAAAGCCGGTTGCCGAGGAAGTGGCAGGGCATCCGATGGCAGCGCGAGCCCGAAGAAGAGCTGCCGGTCCTCATAGAGGAGAGCGTACCAGCAGTAACAATAGACATGCACATTTTTACTAGTCATGGCAGTAGGGTTCGTCGTAATGACAAGCATCACCATTATCATAATCTTGTTCTGTGTTATTTTTTCCAGTGAGTCGGTTGAGTGTACATACGAGTGATCTGCCGAAGGAGAACTCAGGAATGTTGCTGTCATCATCGCGGTTCCTAGTCGCAGTTTTATTTGCAAAAATACCTGACCCTACAAAAGCGGCGACATCTGTGTACTGTTGGCGTGATTCTCCCAGTGTACTATTGTCACTTGAATACGCAATGCTTTTTCTCTGCGCAGTTCGCTTGGCTATGGCATTGGTTTGTGTGGTCAGCAACAGAGTCGTGATCAGCAGCAGCATGAGCATCTCGATCTGCATCTGCACCATCACCAGCATACTCACCACGGCCATGATTATCTCATGATGGTGACTATCACCGACATGGTCATCATCATCTCGTCGTCATTGCCTTCGCCAAGATGAGTGTGATTTTTGCCAGCACCATCGTCATCACTGTCATTACTTTTATACCATTAACACGATCCTCATGGTCACCATCAATGTCGACTCCACCACAGCAGGAGCGAGAAGAGACCTTCGCGGCTCCTGAGGTGGTCCAGGAACACCTGCCGGGGTTGGCAGAATCTGCGTGTTGGGGATCGACGGACTTACATGCGTTGGGCTTTTGACTCCGCGCTCACCGGGAAGCAGCCGTGCGGTCATGCCTTAGACTTAGACTTGCTTGCAGAAACCCGAGACTGAAATTGAATTCCCGATACCCCGATGATTCTTCTTGTTTTGCACAATGCAAAAATAGAACAGTGAGGCGTGGTCGGCGACGAGACGTAAAGCAGGGAATAGAAGAGCCATCGCAACAGAAGCCGCGACAAAGATGGCAGTGAAAACGGCTTTGTTTCAAATGGGATCACAGTCAAGTGATCACAGCAACGGCGAGAGTCAACGTAGCAGCACAAAGGTCGACAGCAGTTAGGAATATATGTCTGCAGCGAGAAGCAGGATGAATAGTCGCGTGGGAGAAGACTGACAACTAGTTGCAGCGGCAAGATGTCGATGTGATGGTGGTCACCATGTGAACAACCCTGTATGCTGGCAAGTTTTATGTTTCACAGTCACGTCGTGATACGAGTTCTATGAAGATGAGGCTAAGGGCGTTTTTAGAAGTAGGTCGCTCAGAATACTGAAGAATTTGCAGCCGGGGTCAGCAGCATAGCTGAGCACATACTAATTGCCACGTACGGGTATTCTAGCTTTTTCAATAGCAGCGGACCCATAGCTAAAGTTTTCTACTTGATGTTTGATATTCCCATGAATCCGACGAAAAACCTGGGTCGCCAGGGCGACTTCGTCTGCTTGCCCATCTCCGTGCCCAGCTTGCCGACATCTGCCTTCGACCCACTGGAACTTGCTGCTGAGACTCCAGCAGCCCTACAAGGGAACACGGCTTCCCTGAATGGCCAGGCTGGGTTCTGGGTGTAGGGTCTATGGGCTTCGGGGGCTAAGGGATAGTAGGATTTAGGGCTTCAATGTAGGATTTCGGGGCTAGGGCCTAGGATTCAGGGCTTGGGTCTTTGCACTTAGGGCTTCGGATTCAGGGTTCTGGGGTTGTTCCAGATGAGGTTCATGCGTTAATGATAGCTTTCAGCCGGACGCCCTAGAATGCACGTTGCCCTCAGCTCTACCAGGTCATCGTCAACTTTGCCACCAGCGCGGTGGAGGAATTCATGCTGGCTCAGAGGGAGCGCGAGGAGTACAAGGCTGGTAGGTTAGGTTTTTTGGGTATCTAAGACAAGCGTGGTGGTTCTCAATACCAAGGAATGCCTAAACCCGAAAAGAACCTGAAAGCCGCTAGCCCGGCAGTCGAACAATGGCGCTTCACTTCCCCACCCGTGCCACAGCCCTAGTAAGAGTAGAGGAGGTTCAAAACCCTGCGAAGTTACTCCCTAAACCATAAACCCTAAACCCTTAACCCTAAGCCCTCAACCCTAAACCCTAAATCCTAAACCCTTAACCCTAAGCCCTAAACCCTAAACCCTAAACCCTCAACCCTGAACAACCCTGAACCCGAAGTTACGTCTGTACAGACGGCAATGGGATCGTTGGAGGCTACCGTTGTAGTATCCTTAAGGGAGGGGGGTCCAAGGGGGGTAAATAGCCTAGTGATCCCTAATCCTCCCTAGTACTCCCTAAGGTTCCCTTACAGTCCCCTAAGGATTCCTTATACCCTCCCCCCTTGAACCACCCTCCCTTAAGGATCCTATAACTACCGGGGTCGGAAATCAACTTCTTCCGGGCAAGGAGAGCACAAGTTGGTGATAGGGTCCCTTGAGGTTCCTTTAGAGGGGTCTATAAGGGTTCCTTTAAAGAGTTACTATAAGGGTTCAAAGTAGGGGCCTTAAAAACTAGAATAGGTTTGGGGGTAAATTGTACTACAAACTCCAAGCCCTATTTCAGTTATCAAGGCCCCTGCAGTGGCCGTTGCTGGAATCGGATATTTCGTTGAGTAAAGTTGACCCTTAATGGAGTATCTTGGGGCTTCCTTTTTCTAACTATAGTATAGTTGGCCCCCGTAACAATTAAGGCCACTAGTATGGCTTGGCTTTGCGAGAGAGGGCGAGGGGGAGGCCAAAATTGCCAGATCCTTTGAGAATCTGGGTGCCATTTTGGGGTTTAGGGTTCACGGAAACCCGGTCCTCGTGAAGGAACTTGGCATATGCCAGAGATATAATGACCTAAAGTACATGATATGCTTTCTTTACCAGGGTATCTTGAATGAACCGGTGAACCGACGGCTTTCGTTTTACGTTTGGAGTTTGGGGCTTTGGTTCGCATCATGGGTTCGTGGTCTAGTGCCTAAGCACGTGGGCGTCTGAGCATTATGAATCCTTTGGGAATTCGAAAATGGCCATGGCAGATTCATGCTACAGTTATATAAGTTATATACGGACAAAATTGGAACCAGAACACCACGGATTCAACCTCCCTTGTCCATGAGGGTGCCAGCGTTTTGCACTCTCGGAGGCATACATCGAAAAGCTGCACGAGCAGCGACTAGCCTACCTCGCCGCCAAGAGGTCAGACATCTTGGCCAAGAGAGGCCGTGGGAACAATCCCCAAACCCTAAAGGGAACTCCAGAAAGTTGGAATATGGATTAATGGTAGGATCCCCTATAATTTACGTTAAAGGGGTTACGATAATGATATTCCAACTTTCTGGCTTCTACTGTAGGGTTTGCTGCAGGGTTTAGTAAGCTTTAGCATTCAGGGTGTACATTAGAAGCCAGAAAGTTGGAATATCGTTATCCTGATGCCCTTAAGGAGAAGTATAGGGAATCCCAGCACGAATCATCCTTAATCCATGTTCCAACTTTCTGGGGTTCACTATAGGGTTTAGGGTTTTTAGGGGTGAGGGTCGCGTTGTAATGTATCAGAGTTTTCAAGCCTGCAGCCGCAAGCCGTAGGCTTGAAATGTAGGAGGGTTGTTCAGGTTGATTCCCCGTGTACATGTATTCCCAGAGGCACGCCCCACACAGTATGTTTCTGCATGTATGTGCGCGTATGGGTAAGCGCACGCACGTGTGGTGTCTTTGTTCTCTGTTTATGTCTGTTTCTGTGTCCACGTCTCTGCCTCTGTCTATTGTCTATTCCATGTCTATGTCTGTGGGTGTCGGTGTACTTACCTGTGTTGTCCGTACGTGTCCGTACGAGCCTTTGCGAGCTGTCCAGTCCATTCATTCATTCATTCATTCATTCGTTCGTTCATTCATTCATTCATTCATTCATCCATTTCCCTCGCTTCCCTCCCCTTTCCTTTAGTTCGGTTGCATTCCCTTCCATTCCATTCCATTGCTTTCCTTTGCCGCCTTCCTTCCCTTCATTCTTTCTCTGTGCGCATTCGTACAGTTGTGTGTGTATGTCTTCATGCTTGGATGTACAGTTATATGCATGTGCCGCTAGATTACAGTCATGTTATTGGAGTGTAGGGTTGAGGGTACGGCGGCGAGGCCTCGAAATGAGAGAGAAAGGGTCCGCACCGCTGCTTGGCGAAAGCTCGAGCGGGTTCTAAGGGTTCACGGTTTGGGGTGTGGTGTAGGGTTTAGGTTATCAGGGTTTCTAGGGTTGTAAGGGTTCTTCGGTTTAGGGCTTAGCGTCTTTGGATTTAGGGTGGCGTGCAGGGGTCAGTGTTTCAGGATTCAGTTTAGACTGCAAGGTGTGGGCTGCGAAGAGTCTTAGAGTTTTGTGATGTGCCTTTTGCGAGGAGCATGGGCTCTCTGCGACCTTAAACCCTAAACCCTAAAATCCTAAGCCCTAAACCCTAAACTCTTGTTGCACACTGCTGTTTTTTAGGTTCCCGCAGACACTTGAAGACAGAAGATCCACCGTCCGCGACACCATGCTCAAAACCGGGGCTTCCCAGAAACATTGAAAACCAGGGCTTCAAAAGAGCTCAAAAACGCTCAAGAACCGGAGCTTCCAAGGGCTCAAAAATGCTCAAAACTTCAACCTCCAACACTTACGGAGCCCCACCCTGCCCTGAGCTTGACATCGAGGATCTTGAAGGCTTAAACTTAGGGGTACTTAGAAATATTTTTTAATTTTTGGTTATGAAAATCAACAAGAAAGAAACAGCTAAAATTAAAATTTTTGCTAGGGTTCTAAGTTCTACGCTCAGTATAGTAAACTCCCATAGCCCTAGAGCCCCAGAGCCCTAAACTCAAAGGGGAGAAGGAGGGACCCTTAATGGGGACCCCTACCCTATAATGGGCTATATAATGGGTACATAATGGCTATATTAAGGTTATAAGGGTCCCTCCTTTAACTTTTGGATAAACCCTAAACCCTGAACCCCAAACCCCTAAGCCCCCTGAACCCCCTTAAACCCTAGAACCCTAAACCCCTAAACCCTAGGTCCTGAACCCCAACCCCCCGACCCCAAACCCCCCTAAGCCTAAAACCCTAAACCCCCTAAATCCTTAAACCCTTTTCCCTAAACACGAACCTCTAGAGCCCAACCCCCCCCAAAGCCTAAAACCCCCCAGCCGCCAGAGGACTCCCGGGAGGATCTAGAAAGTAGATCCGCTAATTTGGGTCCCTATACTACTAAGGGTACATTGTAGGAGCCCCCATTAAGGGATCCCCTATTCTTGTTTTTTGAGGTCCCTGTACAAAACCCCCCTAATACCCCTTGTAGTAATCCATATAGATCCCCTTTCAAAGGAACCCCCATTCAGGGATCTACTTTTTGGATCCTCCAAAGGGGGTCTGGGTAACTCTAAACCCTAAACCCTAAACCCTAAAACCCTAAACCCTTAATGGAACCCTTAAAATAACCCTTAAAGAACCGTTATAAACCCTTAATGGAACCCTTAAAATAACTTTTAAGAGAACCGTTAAAGGAACCCTTAATGGCAGAGGACTCTGGATCGGAAGCCCTTCGCCTGGCGGGAGCTTCGCAGCATCCTCAGCACCGACGCTAAGCAGATGCCGAAGGACCTGCGCATAAGGAAAAGCAAGCCGGGGGTTGAGGAGGAGGAGGAGGAGGAGGAGCTGGGTTTAGGGTTTAGGGGTTTAGGGCTTAGGGTTTAGGGAGGAGGAGTAGGCGGAGGAGAAGGAGGAAGATGAGGAGGAGCAGGAGGAGTGAACATATCTGCATGGACAAGTATCCGGGGTTGTAGCAGAAGCAGTAGTACGTAAGCCGCAGCAGCTGGTGGAGGACGAATGCACCATCCGGAGATGCTTGTATCAGCACATGAACGCGACATAATCACGTGTGTACTTGTATGCAAAGTGCATAGACATTCGAAATGTTCGAAATGTGTCTATATATGTGCAAGTGTATGTACACACACGTAGATAAATAGACAATTCAACAAGTAAGTAACTCTATATATATATATATATATATATAATATAGAGCTAAACAAAATATGCATATAGTTATGAATATTGCCTATGTATGTATGTATGTATGTATGTATGTATAATATGTATAATATGTACACACATACCCACCTACCAAACTTCCCTCGTAGCTCCCCCAATATGTATCGACACAGACACTTCTGCACACTTGTACACTACCACAAGACCTACACATGTGCATACATACATAAATACATACATACATATATACATATGTACCGACAGACAGACAGACAGACACAGAGACAGAGACAGAGACAGAGACAGAGACGGAGACAGACAAAGGAAGCTCTGGAGAGCCATGCGCACAGAGGTACAGTTTTTGCGTACCTGCCTGCCCCGGCAGGCCTCCCTATCTACGTACGTGCAGACATACAGGCATACCCTAAACCCTAAACCCAAAACCCAAAGCCCAAAACCCTAAACCCTAAACCATGCATACGTGCATGTTCTGACACACAAATTGCATCCGCCGGTCCGTGACACCTGTACCCATGCTAAAGGACTAGATGGGAGTTTCCGAGGATTAGGGGTACCTTAGTTTGGGGTCCTTATAATAAGGATGCTACTATTTAGGGTACTAAATTAGGGTCCCCTATTTTCGGAAACTCCCAGAAAGTAACTAGACCCTCATGCAACCATTTCAAGGCATACCCTGATGGTCGAAACAAGGAGAAGCCACATACAGCTACCTACTCGCGGAAGAGCAGGAACTCGAACCCTAAAATATGAACTTCGAGCGCTCAATTGTCCAGGACGGCTGGATGTGTGAGTCAGTGCTGAACGCGAGCAAAAAGCTCACACGCTCCCTGGTCCCGGTGGGCTCAGGCAGGGTTCAGGGGTGATGATCTAGAGTGGCGAGTGGATTTGGGCTATCTTGACAACTGACAATTTCAGCCGGCGAAAATACCACCACTGCATCGCAGTCGTTCACACCGTATCCCATCACTGCACCTGACCGCCTCGCTTCGCCTCACCTCCATGTCCGGTTTAGGGCTCAAGGGTTTAAGGGTTAAGGCTTAAGGTTTGGGGCTCAGGGCTTTGGGTTTAAGGTTTAGGGTTCAGGGCCGCGTCAGCATTAAGTTATCATCATGCGCCGCCTTTTCCTTTGCAACTTCCAACCCTGAACCCTTAACCGGAGGGACCCTTAATAAGGACCCGTAGGTATATACCCTGAATATAGCTATTATATACCCATTATGTAGCCCGTGATAGGGTAGGGGTCCCCATTAAGGGTCCCTCCTTTTCCCCTTTGACAGATGTTGCAAGACCATGACCCCGAGCGGCCGAACAGTTGGGCACAAGAGTGTTTACTCCGCAGTTCGGTTCCTTTGGTATAAACCCTAAACCCTAAACCCTGAACCCTAAACCCTAAAGCATATGCCCCACCAAAAAAAAAGCACGTACCAGAATGGATCCTAGAAGTCCTATTCTGAGTATCAAGGCCGCTATTTTTTTAGTCTTTCTTCAGGGGGCTAGAGGCTCAAAGAACTGGAGAAGGATTCTGTTATGGGGATGTGGAATCTCGGCTTGAGGGGCCTGCAGTGATTTCAGAACTAGGGGTAGCTGGCGTATCGGAATAAGGGTTGGGGGTTTAGGGTTCAAGGAAGTCCGCGTTGCAGGAGCAATGCTTCCGCCGAGCGTGCTGTTGCACATCCTGGTGTCCTTCGGATCTCAGGCGAGCTGTTCTTCACTTGCTGTCAAGATTCCACCCACCAACCCCAAAACCCCACTTACACCCTAAACGCTTAACGCTACACCGTATCCATGAATTCTTGGGAATGCAGAAGTCTCCAAAGCCCGAAGCCCTTGACGACCAAAACCTTCAAGGTGAAACTTCCAAGCAGCCTCATACAGTCGCCTAATTAGATAGGAATTCATTCCTCAGGGCTCCTTAACATCATTGCAGTACAATAGACCCCGAAGCCTGATTCTATTCATTCAGGTCCCTATATTGTATGCGAAAGAAGTGCAGCCCATATCAATCCTTCCAAAACGGATCCTCAGACTCAGAACCTTACACTCTAGACCCTAAGAGCCTGAATCCCAAACCCAACCCCATACCGCTAGGCGTCAATCAGCCAGCCTTCATTAAATCCTAAACCCAAGCCGCCTGCAAAATCCAGCCGTCCGACAAGGTGCGTCCAGACCCACCCGGACGATGGGGACGTAATGCTGCAAGGCATTTGTCCGTCAGTGACCCTGGACCTGAGGGTTGTTGTAGTTGGGCTTGGGTTCACGGCTCCGGGTTTGGGGTTAGGGTTACGGGTTTAGGGTTTGGGTTTAAGGGGCTTGAGTTCACGGCTCCGGGTTTGGGGTTACAGTGTTTGGATTCAAGGATTTTTGCTTGAGTGACAGGCTGAGGTCGAGGGCTGCAAGTGGATCCAGAGTCTGCGCGGAGGTGTTGTTTCATGTTCCGACATTCCTTCGAAACGTCTTACCAATCAGTGTCTGAAGCTGCTGCTTCCCCTCCCCTAAACCCTAAACCCTAAACCCTAAACCGCTTCTTCGTTGTTGGGGCTCTGTTGCCGTGGATATCGCATGCTCGATGCAGCCCCTGCTGCTGCAGCAGCTGTGGAAGCTGCAGCTCCTGCTAGTAAACCACGGTTTAGGGTTTTAGGGTTTAGGTTATTGGTGGTGGTATAGCTTGAAGCTTTAGACGCTACTGTTTTCTTCGTTCTTTGGATCTGTGGTTGTTGCCGTGAACCCTCTCGTCATTTTTGTTATTGCGCTAGGCGCGACCACACACTATCGTAGATAGCTAGTGTGTTCCTTGCTGTTGCTGGCATCTTTCGCTGTAAGCCTCAACCCTTGACCACCTAACTTCAGCCTTTGCACTGTCTCTTGCAGCTCCCGGTTTCTATCCAAACAAGGATTGCTTCTTCCCAACGGGCATGATCCTGACTGACGCTACGGAGATCTGGCTTGCAAGCCCAAGTAAAGGTTTAGGGTTCAGGGTTTAGGGTTTAGGGTTTAGGGTTAGAAAAGGTATGAAGTGAGCTGGATAAATGAAATGGTTGATCCCGCAGATCCGCAGGTAAGTTCAAAGCGAAACCATACTACGCACGCCTCCTTCCCAAGGGTTAACAGCAGTCGGTAGCTCGTTGCAGTTCGCAGCTGACAGTGGGGTTTCGTAAGTTGTGCTGAGGATTTCTTGGCTAGGACCTCTTTCGTCCTCCGCTACCCGAGAAGGAAGTAACGAAGTCAGTCATCCTCGTCCAGGTGGTGCTAACCAGAACGTACGGGAAGGTAAAGTGCACTAGCAATGGTAGTTTTTTCTTAAGAATTAGCATAGGTTTTCGGGATTTTTTCTTATAGTTATAGTACAATTTACCCCCAAACCCTGTTCCAATTAGTAAGGCCCTTCTTTACACCCTCAGAGTAACCCTTTAAAGGAACCCTTATAGACCCCTCGAAAGGAACCTTAAAAGGGACCCTACTGTAATTCTAAAGGCCCCTACATTAGCAGCAGCAACACGCGTAACGAGCCAGGACATCATCGAGCAGAAGAAGGAAGCTCCTACCTTAGTGCACCTGGGCTCTGGTTAGTTAAGGGTTTTATGGATCTATATAAGGGGTTCCTCCACGGGATCTGTAAGGGTTCCTTGGAGGATTTATAATTTAACATTTAAGTTGCCATACTAGGGATCTATAGTAGGGAGGGCAGGGGGAGGGGGGGCCATGAAAAGGGCGGAGGCCCACAAATCAGGTAAAATGAAGGGAAGCCGGACAAGGGGGTGGCAAACGAACGCAAAAACAGGGTGTCTCCAAACATTGGCACTGCAGGGAGGAGGATTAGGTGGAGGGTACCTGAGGTAACCCCCAAGACGCCTGGGCCTGTGGCCTCGGCGGATATGATTTCCTTATTGTTGTAACTTAAAGAAAATTTTCCTTAACAAGAACCCAGGCACCTGGTGGCCATGTCGGTGAACAAAGAGAACGGCGATCTTGAGGCTAAGCACCCAGGTCACCGTTTGGTAGAGTTTTCGTTTTTCTTTAGACCTAAAGGTCTAGCACTTAGGGTGAAGCTTTTTTGTTGTTAGTTCTCAAAGGGGAAAGGAGGGACCCTTAATAAGGACCCCTACCCTATAATGGGCTATATAATGGGTATATAATAGCTATATTAAGGGTATATACCTAGGGGTCCTTATTAAGGGTCCCTCCTTTTGCCCTTGGATAGTTGTATCTTCTCATGGCAATCCCAGGACTCTACAGTTGGGGGTTTAGGCTCAGCACCGTTAATCCATAACAAACCCCAGTGCAAGCCCTAAATCAGGGATTCCGAAATCAAAACCCTACTTGGAGGTTCATGGGTAGTTATAAGTAGGGTTATAAGAAGGATAACTATGGTTATAACCTATGTTAGGGGACTTAAAACCCCACTTATAACTACCCATGAACCTCCACGTAAGGCATCTCCTTGACAACATCCAGCTGCCCACGCCGGCAAGCTACCCCTCGATCAAGCCGCGACACCAGATTAGACGATGAGCGAAGGTGGGGATGGCTCGGGAGCAAGATCCCTGGCTGGGGGTTTTAGGGTCTAGGCCGTTCTGAGCCAAGGTCGTTCTGAAGGATTCACCATTGTAGTCTAGACGACTGCGAGGACCTGAGAGAGATCTTACTTTCGAGCAGCACCCAAACTGAGACGCCGCTGGCGTGTACAGGTATGTGTCTGCAGGCAGCTGTTCCTTCCGACTGCTTCCATTTACAGTCCCGCAACGTTCACAATCAGGCGATTGTATACACCCATGCGGTCGGCGATACACATATTCTCATACAAACCGCTACTGTCAGGGATTGCGCATGTATTGCGGTGTTGACATTGTGTGATTCTGTGGTTGTTGTCGTAATCACACTTCGCAGTGTTCTCACTTTAATTCTTGATCACACTCCGCAGTGTTGTCGGTGTAGTTCCTCCAGGCACCACTTCTGCTGACTGTAATCTTGCAGTTCTTGTTTTCGTGCTCTCTCTCTTCTAATTGCTAGTGCTGGTATCACCACCATCACCGTCGTCGTCATGGCTGTTCCCTTCCTGCCACGAGTATCGCTCTTCTCACACTTCGTCCTCCTGACAATTTCCTTCGTGAGCGAGCTCAGGCATGCTTGAATTTTCACAGGGCGTGAGAATGGACGTTCGAGATCTTTTCGCCAGATTAGTTGCTAGTAGCTATATACACATACACACATCATTGTTGTTGTCATTATTGTTAGTATTGCTGTTAGTGTTATTGTCATTGTTGTTTATCATTGTTGCCATCAGTATTACCACTATGATGATGATTACTTATTGTTGTTAGCAATACTGCTGTTGCGATGATTAAGATTCAGATCATGATCATGATGGTTGTTGTTATGAGGGTTTTTGCTTCAGGTAAGGTTCAGGGTTGAGCGGTTGCGGTTCAGAGGACTTGAATCTTGCGTCACAACGAAGTCTTCCATGCTGTTTCTGGAAGCGGTCGAGAGCGGTCCTGTGGGACGGCTTGTGATAGCACTATCTTCCGGCTACGCAGTGCATGAGATGGAAAGCGGGTTGCATTTAGGCTTTAGCATGCTTTCGGGGGGCCAAGGGTTAACGACTCAGACAACCAAGCAGGCGTATCACCGGCGATTTGGAGCTGACATACATAACCGTTTCCCTGAAGCAGCTACTCGCCTCCGTGTGCCATTACGCCTTCAGATAAGCTTCTTCCTGTTAGTAGTGGTATGCTCTGCATTTCAAGACATCCGGGGAACGGAGCCCCATGGGTCGTGCGGCGTGGCAAAACGGCGCCACCTGTGCTTCGGGGTCGGCTGTCGCTTGTAGGCTCGGGCTTCTGGACTTTTGGGGCCGTTGGGCCTAGGG